GTTTGCCCCTCCCCGTCCTCACAAACTAAGACCATTAAACTGAAGAAGATTCAGTGAAAAGCCACAGGGATGATCAAAGGTACAGAATGACCTCCATAAAAGTAAGCTAGGACTCTTTGGGAAAACGTGCTTGAAGAYGATAGAGGTCCATAAAATCATGCCTATAATTGATGGGGTGGATAAGAATGGAGTGTTCGTTGTCCTTTGTAGTATGGGAGCCAAAGGGCAGCAGATGAAGCTAGTCAGGCACATGTTCAAAATGGACAAAAGGAGTTGGTTCTTTACCCATAAAGTTGTAGGATTCCTTGTTTCTGGATGCTCTAAATGTAAAACTTTTCAATGGGTATAAGAGGAGTCTGGCAAGTTCATATATGAGAAATCCAGTACAGGTGACTAAATATGCAGAATTCATGTTCAGCTCAGGAAGCTGTTTATCCCCCAAATAGTTGGAATCTGAGAGTGTTCTGGGGAAATGTCATCTTTACTTGGCCCGGCTCCCACGCTAGGAGGCTCYTTCCAGATACAAGACACAGAGCCAGCTGGACTTTAGGTCTGACGCACTAGGGCTGCTTTTATGATAATGTGTTCTGAGTTCTGACCCAAGGCTTTTAATGTATTTTAGCTAACTGACCACCTTAAAGGAAATCTCTTTTGACRTTGTTTGAGTTTTACTTTTTTAATTACTACATCAAAAATATCACTTGACTTGTTTAATATGTGCTGTAGATGACAGCTTAGGACTTATGGTCTGCATGATGGATACTCGCAACTGAGGGCCTGGTTTAGCCAGCCCTGTTGGAACAATTTTCCTGGAACAATAATACAAAAATCAGAATGCATTAGCATATGTGGGTCACAGAGCAGCTGGGAGAAGGAAATTTTTGATTCATCTGTTCAATGAAATATTTTTTTTCTTCCAGAATTATGCTTCTGTTCAGACCCATTTGTACTTTAGAATCTTTTTGTTCCAGTTTTCATTACCATCATCTTGGAAAGAATTTTAAATCTGCCCTGCAAAGGATTCCCTAAGCTAATATTCTTTAGAGAAATAAGTCACAATCCTGGAAATGGGGAGATTTTTGAATCCTCATTTCAGTTTTGTGACTGATCGACAAGACTTTGAACAAGCCATGTAAGCATCTGTGCTGTCTGTAAATTCAAGGTAACAGTAGCCTTGTAGGAACGATTGAAGTAAAGGCTGCCTGTAAAATTCTATGAAAACTCAAATTATGATTTATTAGTATTTTTGAAATAAAGCTTTAGGGATGGGAAAGCCATTCTAATGAATCTCAGGTGTGTGGAGCATTTTGTGGTTAGCTCTAAGGGGCGACCTCTCCCATGGATCGGAAGCGCGGCCTACGTGTGGTTTATCCTTTTCCTCGGCGTTTCACATCTTGCTTTGTGAAGTACAAGCATCTGCTTTCACCTAGCTCTAGTAATGCCCGTTTAGGACCTTCTTCCGCTGACTGCAGAACTCAGTAGGRGTGGCACTGATTATTTTATATGCCTAACAGTCAAACTTTGAGCCGTCCTGCAGGGTGGTTTGGCTCCTCTAAACCACAAGAGTAGGGGCGGGAGGCTGATCACGGTAGGTACCATTCAGGCACAGAGCTGAGTGCCAAGCTGTGAGGGGCAGATCTGGGAGCTGACAAGCTCTGTGTTCCTGCAGGTGAGAAATGCTCTACAGCGAGAGAGAAATCACAGATGATTTAAACAGTCCCTGACCCTTGCTCGTGTTGCAACTGGAATGGAAGCAAGGCATCGCTCTGAGATAGGCACGAGATACTTCCTTTTATTACACCATTTTAGCACTTTTTTTCCCCTCAGCTATTTTATATAGAAGCCTTAAGTCAGATTTTTTTTTTTTCTCTCCAGTTTCTAGTAATGAAATCATAGACACTTAAGAGCATCATCTCAAATCCTAAGTAGCAATTGCCAATTACTGGGAGTGGGGAGATAACCCTCATTTTATTGAGGCAATGAAGCCATGAAGAGTCAGAGGGACTTTCCCTATCTCATGAGAAAAGTAGTATGGAGCTAGAAACTAAGGCCAGACCTTCTGATTGCAGTTCACAGTTTCTGTCATATGACCATCCTTTTCCAAGTATCAAATATGTACACAAAGCTCTCCAATTTAGTCCTCACACTATTTTCCAGTGTTACAATTCAGTTCCTCTGAACTTTGTCCTCTCATTAGCTTCAGCAAAAAGGCAAACATTTGCCCATTTGTTTCAGTAGTAAGTAGAAGCTGCTTTCCATACAGATGATGATTTCCCCTCCATTCATATGCTTCTCATCCTAGTGCTCGAAGGCCAGCCTGTGTCAGCAAGGGCCTGTTCAAATTAGAAACCAAATAATGTTTCGGGGATGCCTTGGGCTGTCTTGTGGAGAAGGCTCTTCTCAACCCGTGCCAGTTACTACTTGGTGGTCCTGCCAATCCTTGCAGAGTTTCAAAACAAGAGTTGCTCAAGCTCATGGGGCGCTGTTAGGCCGACGTACGTGCTGGGCCGGAGCAGGGCCCGGCACTTAGCCCGGCACAGCTCACCCGGCCACGGCCACGTAAGGGGACAGGGGAGTGGCCCTGGCCTAATTGCTAACATGCCTCCCCTGCAARACTCCTCCTGATATTTATTTAATAAGCCCAGGCTCATAAAGCCTGAGCGATTTGAGCAATCAAGTGGTAGCTGATTTGTATACGGAGATGACATGCAGCCAGACTAAGTGAAGGGTGAAATGCTTAATTTTTGCAAAGTTTTGCAAAGCTTTATCTGGCTGTTGCCAGTGAAACACAAAACCCTAGACAGCTGCGCCCGAGAGCGGAGCAGCCAGCGAGTGCCTCGGGAGCTGCCTTGGGGCCAGCTTTGCAGAGCTCCATCTCCTGCTTAACTGCAGCCTTTCCTGCCAGTGTGGTCCTAGGAACTGATATGGGGACTTTTCTACTGCTGCCAGGGAATAACACGCATGAACCCCGCTCCAATGGCTCCTGCCAGGGATGCGAATTGCTCCGTTCGGAGGGGCAAAGGGCAGGTTCTCAGAACTGGCTGACACATGTCTGCATTTCCATGTGCCAGCAAAGCTGTTTGTAAATACTCATGTCTTCCCAGGCGGGAAGGAGGGAGCATCTAGAACTGCTGCGCGCACAGAGGGTTGCTCTTGTTTTCGTGTCAAACCATTGCTACAGCTTTCAGCATCAAAGGGAAAAAAAAAGCAATGCTGCCTTTGTATGGAGTCCTATATAACAGCATTTCATTCAGAATTATTTCCAGTTTTTAATGAATTAGGGATACCTGATGATTGCATATTAAACTTTCACTGATAGTGAGGAGAGATCTAAGGTTCAAACCAGATTCTGTACAGGATTCTGTAGTTTTGCAGCAAGACCGKAAAAAACAAATCCTGATAAACTCAGTCTTCAACACAAGCCAGGTATTGGGATATCTTTTTTTAAAAGGAAAACTAAAAACTAAAATCAAAATGTGTGACTTTCCTTAAGGAAGCAAAAGCAGCATTATCCGCTCATCTTTAAAATACACAAAAGAGAAGCAGTGCAGGAAAGGAGACTTTGCTTCTACCCTCCATGTTCTCTCATTAATGCTTTTAAGGGGCCATTTATCCCTGGATGGTATCCATTTAAYATGGATAAACCCTTGCTCTTTTCAGTTATCTAAGTGGATCTGTTTAACAGGAGAGACCAGCAAGGGTCTCTCATGGCAGCCTGGACTCCTTGATGTTTGCTTCCAGGCGGTCTGGTCTGCACAGCTTTAGAGCAGCCTCGTTAGTGTTTGCGTGATGCTTCCTCCTCCCAGCCCAAGGTCTATTGCACGTTACTGCACTGTGGGCTGGGAGATYGGTGGTTTGTGGATTGGCAAGTGCTTCATCCTGATTGCGTTGATCTGAGCAGGAATTTTACGCATCTGCCTGCGGCGCCGTCACAGAAAGGGAGCGGGTGGCTGGCGGGCACCGCCACCGCACGCACCTCCCTCCTGGTGTATTCACATTCACTGCCTCTCTGCTGGCTTTTATGGCTCGGGGCTGGTTAACGTCCCTGGCCTTGCTGGTTGGCTTCTTGTAAGGCACGCGATGCCCSGTCTTTAGCGAGGAACCTGACTGCAACTTTGTGACTACACTGAAAAATGGGCTGTTGCTTTTCTGAAGTCCTTTTCACAGCTGCTTTGTGGTTACTTTGCACYTAAGAAACTGGGGGTGCCATAGCATATGGACACGGATGCTTCCCTGTTGACCTGTTTCACCAGGAACAGTCTATGTTCTTCAGGCCTTCTCTGGTGTTCTGCTTTGACTTGGCCTGGTGGCTGAAAGCTTTCCTGTTTTTCTTATTTTTGACAATTGTGACACTAATATCCCCCACACCCATATTATCCTCTGACCTCCAGGTATCGGAATGCACTAAGCTATGCCCGAAATGTCGCAAAGGAATGTGAATCACATTTAAATACAAACCGTATCAGATAAACAACACAAACTACAAGTRCTGTATCCCAAGGAGGAGTGACAAGCACCACCGACTGGAATATTTACAGCAAGAAAGATTTCCCGAGTTAGCTTCAATACCTAATTTCTGATTATGGAACCAATGTATTAGTATGATGTAAAGTAACAACTTGCCATCATTCTACAAGCTACCAAGATGCATACAGAGATATGCAACTAATCCATCAACAAAATATTGCCTATTGGGCTGGAGCGGGAGTGAGATGAATGAGGAAGGTAGGAGGAGGAGAACTAGGGTGGGACATCTAAAATAGAATAACCTTAAAAGCTTTGGACTACAATGGGCCCAGCAGAGGCCCTTTTACTTCAGAGTAGAAGGAAATAGGGGCCATGTGGCATCCTGTTTGATCCCAGCCTACAACACTTAGTGTGCAATAAGCAGTGGTCCAGATTGCTGCTACTCTCTCTCTTTCTCACTAGTTCATTCTGAAGTGATGTAAAAGTGGGACGTAATTTTTTCTTGCCTCAAGATTCATTTAATGTTTTCTCAGGTGGAGCTTGCAGAAATCTGCACAAAGAGTGAACGTTACATTGGCACAGAAGGTGGAGGAATGGACCAGTCAATATCTTTTCTGGCAGAAGAAGGAACTGTAGGTGAATCTTCGCAATATACACTGACAGTGTAATTAATGTAAACAAACAGTGTTTTTGTATGTATCTAGAAAAAGGCAATTGAAATACCTTGACAAGCAGAATAAGCACTATTTCTATGCAAATGAAACAGGAATTAGGTGTGTAAACTTGTGCACAGTTGAGTATAATGGGTTAGAAGGAAATGAGAAGTGGAAGTATGAGAACATAAAAAGACTTGGGGAAAGATGTATTCTGGAAGACCATATTGCTTGACTAATTTATCACTGAACTTAGAATGTTTCCCATATAATGAAGTCTGAATGGTCGGTATGTCCTGTATTCAGTGCAAATAGGATAATTATTACAAAAATGCTTTCTTGAAACTTCTTATAACCAGACATTTCTAGGAAGTTTTGCCAGGTCTAGTTACAAAGACAATGGGGATTTTTTTCCTCCAGTTTTGCTAATTCCAGACAATTCTGTGGCTAGGTTCTGATGTAAAAGGTATTTAGCTGGTATGTGGTGAAAGAAGGTGGATTGGCAGTGATCTCTGAGACCTGCCAAGCTGTGCTGAGCACTTGCAGTGCAGTCCACCCACTGCCCCAGAGATGCCAAGGACCTCAGAGGTTCAGATCTAAAACCTGCCAAAATACTTGGCAACATTTATTAAAATTAATGTGGCCTCTCATGAAAAACCTTCACTTTGCTTTTAGCTTATTGGAAGTTATTTTCTATCTCAYGTTTTATGGGCCTTATGCCATATCTTAGATGAGTTTATAAAGAAAATAAGCAGTTGCCTAGAATTGCACTAAAAATGTTTATTTCTACCCTGAGATATGTGCGTTTTCAATTTCACAACATCGTCTGTACCTACTTTACACCTTTCCTTCACACTTTAAGCTACAAACACAGAGCTCCACCCATGCTGGAAGGAGTTGCAGAAGCAGAGGATCACATGAGCAGAGGCTCTTCTGTGACTTCAAAAAGGCAGAGAGCATATTAGGAGAGATAAGAAACGAAATGGTGAACAAAATAGAAACCATCCTTGCCTCTGAGAGCAGTTCCTGGCCACATTTCACAAAAGTATACCAGGACTAGAAGAGTACAGAGAAGGACTCTGAGGGTGAGCTAGGGTATTTTTATGTGAGCACCAACTGAGTAATTTAAGACTGTTCAGCTCAGAAAACAGACATCTTTGAGGGTGGTAGTTTGGAGGTCTGTAAAATCCTGAATGGGTAAGAGAAGGTAGATTGGGAATGTGCTGTTTCTCATAACAGAAGAACTAATAGAAACACAATGAAATCAACAGGCAGCTTGCTAAAAACAAACAAGAGGAAGTTTGTTTTTTCAAAACAGTCATTGTTAAATTGAGAAATACAGCACATTGAGGAGGCTAAAAGTTTAAAAGGGGTTTAGGAAGGTCCTTCTTAGATATACAGATAGACTACATGCCTKTTTGGGGCTATTAAACATAACAGACTGATGTGTCTTCCACTATACCCGTATGTAAATCCACCATACACTCTGCTTATGAGAAGGAAGAATGTACTAGGAAGAGAACTTTTTATATGTGTTACTTTTGCAGCATCTCCAAATACCCATTTATGGCTCCTGTCAGACTCAGGACAGTGGTCTGGCTTAGTGGTACATTTTGATCTAATGTAGCAGTTCCGAAATGGGCATATTTAAATGCAAGCAAGCATGTCTTTCTTGATAGCAGTTTTGTGAAGTGGTACAGCAGCTCAGTGGCAGGCAGCACCACACATGCTGTACATAATGTACAAGCAGATTTGTCATTGTTTATTTAGCACTCTAGCTGCTTAAGGAACTCTCCGGGGGTGCACAATGCCAAAACCAGTAAGACATCCCTGCTTGCAGAACTGCAGACTATTCTGGAGAGCCAGAGCAGGGCACATGATTTACAGCCTATCCCAGTGAAAATCCAGATGTGAATGTAATCTCTTGATTACATTACATCCTGAATTATTTAATTAATGGATTCCTAGCTTATTMCATGAAAAGGTCACAAAATGTTGGGAACACAGCCTGTGGAAGGCAAGAAAATCTTATGCCAGAAGGGAGACAGGAACTAGTTGTTTCTAAGAATTTGGTAATATTATATACCTCAGTGAACCGAATCTTCATGATTTAATGAGAAATAAAGGAAAAAAGAGAAAGAAGGGCATGCGTAGATGGCAGGGGAATGTCAAGCCCTTGTTTCTGGTAGCATGTGCCTTAGCTTTAGCCAGGTCTGTACTCGTCTATAGATCAAAGAAAAACTCTAGGCTTAAAACAGGCAAGAAAAATAGGTTAGGTGGCGTACTGTGAACTTTGAGAAAAAACAAAGACTTAATGGAAACATTTTAAAATCCAGCTACAAGGAAAAGGTTTGAAATGTATGTGTAACTTGGCCAGTGAGGTTAAACCTCTTTTCTCACTGTTTCATGTCAGTTTGCTTCATTAACTGTCCATGGACTTTCAAGAGAAAAAAACATGCAAATTTGCATTTGATTTATAGAACTAAGTGCACTGTTAGCTAGCAGTAAATTAAAACTAACCATTCATTTTTCTCCTGATAGGCAAAGTTGATAGAGTTCACTCCTCTGAGGGCAACTGATGTGAGACTTCCAAGTGGAGCAGCCTTTGTTATTGCTAACAGTTGTGTTGAGATGAATAAAGCAGCAACTTCTCATTACAATATTAGGGTAGCGGAGTGTCGTCTGGCTACAAAGGTAACGTATGGCTTTTGTCAAACTCTAATGAAACTTTCATGTAAGTATGTGCTTTTCCCCACTTCTTGCCAGTCATGTCTTTACTTTAACACCTGGCTAGGTGCTACTTTAAGTAGCCTTTTTCATTTCAAAGCCAGACACCTCCATCTGTGCAGACACAGAACTCCCGCAGAGCTTAATGGAAGTGTGAGGACTGTGCCCTTATATAGAYGGGTCTGCAATTCAGTTCTATTTAATTAATTTTGTATTATATTTGAATGGTGGAAATATGTCCTTTTCAGCAAGCATATTCTCAGTTAATAAAATAAACTGTTTCTAATTAAAGTTGAATAATGTCAAACTGTGGAAAGCAACCAGTGTGGTCACATGTTTATATGTATATATGGCAATAGATGTGTATTTTCTAGGATTTCGAGTACATCAAAGCCACCAATTAGAAACCTGGAAATATTACTGGAAGGCTCAGTAGCCGCAGGTACGTTAGCATGAAGTTTAAAGAAGACTGACTCAAACCTAAAGATTTTCATTGGGCTGCCAGGTTACAGTTTGCAACTATCTCTAAAATACATGGAATCTAAACATGACAAATCTAAGTCCCACTTTAATTCTAGATTTCTTAGACCACATTCTTAGGAATACGTAGACATATGGTTTGATTGGAGTCTGCTTTAGAAATAGAGAAGATTATTCCTAGTCTGATTAAAGTAAGCGAGGAGCAAGTAGACAATTCACTGCAGCACACCCAAGAGTGCTCTGTGACAGAATAGAATTTGGGTTACAACTTAAGACAACAGTTTTAAGAAAATGCACTGTGAAAGTCTTTGCCACAAGACATTCAGGGCAAAATCTGAGCAATGCTCAAGAGTACTTGGACCATGTGCTGACATAGTAATGCTATGAAAAATTATCATAATGCTAAAAAAGATATTGACAAAACAATTGTCAGATATTGACAAAACAATTCAAAATGTGGTGGTTGGAATGGTTTTCCAGAAGAAGCTAAACTTCAAACGTCTTTAAATACTATTATGAAGAACAGCTGCGTTTTTGCAGTATGTAAGATATGAGAAAATAATAGCACCGGTGACCATAGTCAAAGCTGTTGCCATTAAAGTCAAAAATACCCTGGTAGAATCAAAGTAAGGACCTCGTGGGTCTTTACTGGCATATCTGCAAAACAACTGATTAACTAGTTCTTTTAGGAAGAGTTTCTTTTGGAAATTATTTTACAGAAGACAGCTTTGTGTGTGATCTATCTTAAAAGGCAAACCTTGGCGCTAACTATGTTAGGTTGCAAGGCATTTTGAAAATGTTGTTGCATATATGAGATTTTTGAATTACCTCACAGGTTTCTAACTTGCTTTATATTATTGGTCATGGGTAGTAGACTGCAAAGGGAGGTGAGAGAGGATGATTTTTTTTAATGCTCACGTTAGTTGTGATGTAATCTCAGAAAAAGTACCCTTAGTCGCCTTAAAATCATACATCTGCTAACAACATACACCTGTCTCGTGTAAACATGTGCTGCCCAGATGGAGAGCTGCGTGCGCRCACACACACAGACAAAATATATTGATCCAGGAAAAGGCTGTCTCTAGAAGCAGGTCGTGGTGGGGTGAAGGAGGGCAGGTCTGTAAGTGAAAGCAGGGAGGTTCTGTAAGCACCATTAAAGTAATACAACTATGAAATAACACACTGGGCCTCACAGTAATGTTTTAAAGGAAATTTTTATCAGTAAGTAACTTAGGATAGACTTTTTCATCTTCTGCTTTTATTCTAGCATTTCTTACCCTTCTTTGCAGAAAGCTCTGTGTCAGTAGACACCAATACAACATATCTCCTGGCATTAGTGAGGAACATTTTGGTACCTCTCTGTCCTACAGCAAGTTAGCTCTTGATTATCCTCACAATTACCGATCCCAGGACCTGCTCCCCTCCCTTCTTAGCTGGACCATCATTCTCTCCCTTTCCTATTTTTTTGTCTTCTCATATTGCACTCATGGCTGTAGCATCCGAGTGCTTTCCTATACTCCTTTAAGCAGTCTGTTTAAAATATCTGAGATTCATTCTCATGTCAAATTCAGCAGAACACTCCTGCTTCCAAGGGACGTGCCCATGTACTTGATATCCCCCAAGAGCAGCACAGTAGGAGCTGCAGGAGAGGTGGGTGCGTTGGTGAGCGCTGAGCTCTYCCCAGGCTTCACAGCATGTTGCACTTCACTAGGTAGTGCCAAGAATGTCTGAAAACTGGGATGCCATGAAATGGGCAAATGTACRTGAAATGCAGAAAGATGCTGAGATGGCATTATAGAAATGTAAAGTACAAGAAAGTGATGTTGCTATGTAAGGATTCAATATATCTATACTTACTCCTACTCAGGCTTTCTTTTATTTAGCTTTGTCCTATCATGTACTGGGTATGTTTTCCTCCTGCAGTTACTTTCAGTGCTCCACTGTGCCTGTGTTGGACAGCAAAGGCTAGAGATGCTGTATCCTGGCAGTTAAGAGCCAGCTGGATGATGTCCACATCTTTAATCAATCTCGTCAGAGATCATCAGGAAAATATCCAACTGTGGGATCAGTATTGGGATTATTTTTGTGCATTTAATAGATGACATTTTCRTCTGATTTCTGTTCTGGGTCCGTTATAATTGGAGTTGCTGCAGCTAGATTTTTTTAAAACTCTTTCTGTTTGCCCTTAACATTTTCCACAGCGGTATTAGAATGAAAACTTCGTTGCAAACTGTTAAAACTTCCAAAACCCCCCTAACTGAAGGGGTCAGTTCCCATTTAGAACATTTCAACTGTAAAACAGCARGGTAGGCAGCTCATCTGAAACAGGCTATTTCTCTTCAAGACTAAAAATGGGTACAGATGTGTCAATACATATGACACATTTTTCTAACAGACATTACTAATGAAAAATATAGAAAGATGTTGACTTACAGAACATTATATGATCTTATTTTTCTTAGTCCCTAGCTCTGTTTAGTTTCTGATACTAACATCTAAGAGATGCTAAACATCAGGATTAAGTTATGGGGAAATAAGTTCATTCATTTTACACCTCAAAACAGAAGATTTAAGAWCATGTCACAAGTGCACCAATCACATTCAAGGTACTGGATATTTAAAATAAAATATATGAAACAATAATTGTTATTCTAGTGGGGAATTAGATTGTAATTACATTAATGCAGTTAAATTTAAGCTGTGATATTCCAACCACTCAGAGCCTTTGAAAAGTGGATAGGAAATAAGCTAATGAGTGTTTTACCTGGAAATTTTCTAACTAATTTCTGCATTAKTCACTATGCTGCTGCTTCTTTCTATACCACTGGGCATGCAAAACTCTATTTTAAATGGCTGCAGAGTCATATGATTAGGATTTTGATTGGATTTTGTTTGTTCTGTTCTACTAAGYTCCACATTAAACCCTAAAAAGACGCTAGGTGGCACCAAAAGTGGTTAATTTTTACATACTGCAATACAGTAATACTGGAAAAGCCCCTGCAAATTCAGGAGAACCGCGAGGTAAAATCTGCAGCAGACAGGTCAGGAACAGATCTCATTCTGTTTAAGAAACAGTTTCATGCTGTGACTTTGCACAAAGCAAAGCAAATTCTTTTTAGGCATGCAAATCCCATGCATTTTTTAAGTTAGAAAATTAAATTCACACTAGCTTTGTTGAACTGAGGCCTAAATAATTTCAAAAAAGTCTCGCTCAAAATCTGTGTTTACTGAAAAGAATAACCAAACACGCTGGGTAAAAACCTGACCCTGTTGGTGAGAGATTCGAAACTGTTCTGAATGGAAACAGGATTTCTTTCCCTGGTTGTCCTGCACTTCTTAAAACACTCTGCAAACATACAGCCTGATCTGGCATTTTTGAAGCTTTAATCTCTGTTTAAACAATGTGGAATTGGAGGCATGTCATGTACTCATAAATCCAATAAAATTACCTTGGCATGTCTCRCTAATCTGTCTTTTCACACTGTTGTCTATTGAAATTAAAGGTGGTGTGTCATCAGTAGATCCCACAATGACCACTTAATAATCCCCTATAATTTATAATACTAGAAATAATCCACCTCATGAAAACACGGGGAAAGCCCTTGGCTATTTTCTTTGAGCACAGAACATCACATTTCAGCGACTGACAGAAAAAGCCTCTTATACATTTCTCCTTTAAGAACTCGTGTTAAAATAACTACTGGCAATTGCCAAAATACCAAAGATTTAAAGCACTGCATCCTTGGTGGACCAGAAAGTATCCATCTATCTATCAGTATATCTGTGACTGATTAATCTGATGTTAATTGCGTTGCATTGGCGCAGATTCTGACTAACCCGTCGTAACCTTCTTGTAAGGCTGAACATTTTCCTGAAGGGAGAAACACTGATCTGATATCCAAACAGATAAAGCCYGTAGGGTTTTTATGGTGAATATCTAACCTGGGGGGGAATACCTTTCATTCACAGACCTTTTATAAATAAACATAATGGGTACTGATGGAAAAAGGGTTTGGATGGTTCCTGCTCAAGAAGTGAAAAAAAAGGATTAGCTTTCAAGCTGCTTACAGACTGTTCAATGATAGTTTAAAACTAGAAAGCAAAGTATTATCTTTTTTTTTTTTTTTTTTTTTTAATTTAGCTTCTCTCAAAGTCAAAAGGCCTGGACTGGAAGAAAATGTTGAAACTCCAAGATGTGCAAGTCAGACTAGGAGTCAGCCTGGAGGAAATGCTGACCATTGTCGAGGAGGTATTTCACCCTGAGCCTTACAGCACAGAGGAAATTTGTAAATGCCTGGGAATTAGTCTGGAGGAGCTGCGCACTCAGATCCTTAGTCAAAACACACGAGATGGTAAGTGTATCCTAAGTAGTGTTTTTGAGTTTACAGTGTTTGTATTATATAAAATGGTTATATATTAACAAGCAATGCACATGGAAGTCTTGCCAGAATAGTTCCCCAGAATCAGGGCATGTGAAAAAAATGACATGATTTTCATTCCAACTTTTACCCTAAAATAGAATGAAACTGATTTTCATAGAATTGCTTCTAAAATGGCAGAAATAGCAGAACACTTACTACTTTACATYAGTCTGCACTGTTTTGGAATCATTTCTAAATAACACAGATTTTATTCTAGGGGAATAAAGTAAGCCAGGCTTGCTTTTAAAGCATAGCTGTAACAAAAACAAACATTTTGGATAGACAGGACCATGGAAATGAATCRTGAACACTCTCCTTTAACTGTTGTTAAAGACTAGCATAGATGGGACTTGCTTTTCTGCTTTTGACATCACAAACACAATCCCTTGATAAACCATGCACTGGGAGTATGTTGTATAGATATGTCCTGAGAAGTAAGTCTGTCACTGGCAATATTTGTTAATTAAATWTGAAGTATCTCCCATGTATTCCTGCTGATAATTACATCATACAGTCATGAGTATGGGCACACATTAAATGCTTCTGTAGGAATTATTCTAGATGTATATAATGAGGTGCTAGTAATACTAAATAATAGAGGAGTTATGAAATGATTGATTTGCATTGAATRGTTTCGGAGGTATATATTGTATATTTATAACATATATATATTTGATGTATATATATGTGTGTGAAAGGGGGCTGGACTAGATGTAGATCCATTCCAACCTTAAGCATTCTGTGATAAATTCATGCCTTATATGCTGATGATGAGACATAGGTGGAACTACTGGAAGTATTATTTATTGATCAGGAACCCCTCTTTTATGACTCAGTGGTATAAGGGAGCATAAAACTATATGCTTGTCTAATTACACTGCTAGAGGGGTATCAGCATGGAATCTTCTGGATGAATGGTATCTTCATCCAGCTTTTTATCTCTATAGAAAGTATTATGATAGCTCCATGTGATGTATGTATATGAAGAATATACTGAACCATATACCTGCACTCTCCAATATTTTCATGAGAAACTGCAGGGTTCCAAATCTTTTCGTTTGTCCTTTTACTCTCTTACTTTATGAAACAGTATAATACTAGTAACTTACAGATGTTTATACTCCCTATACCTGGTTTATAAAACAAAATTCTACAGTTCTGTAGAACTGAATTGTTTATATAAGTATTGCTTTTTTTTTTTCCAAAAACCAAAGTGTGGGTGAAAAACTTAAACATAAAAGCAATAGAGGAAAGTCAAAGGAAATGTTATACTGTGGCTCAGAATAGTGTTTGCAGATGTTTGCTGAACAGAATCTCTTAAATTTGCAAGACTATGATTTCACTTGATAAGGCCAATTAAAATGGGTTACACTGGAAGCCTCTTTGCATGTACAGTATAAAATTAAATAACAGATTTCTGTAAAGCTATATGCAAAGAAGAAACAAGACAGATACAGCGAGAAGGAATCGAAATCCACTGTTTGTTTTTGTTACACACTAAACAAATTACATTTTATGTTGGCTTTGGAAAAGCAGCATCTGTTTGACAAAAATATTTTTCTTTCTTTCCCTCTACTTTTCCACTATATTTTAATGATAAAGCCTGGCTTATTCACGTGAAGGAAAATGTACTGATAAATAAGGACTCTATAGATAAAGTTTCAAATGTTGCTTAACTTCATTTTACATACAATTTAGGATATCTTCCTTTGTAAATGTCTTATTAACATTTCTGATAAAACAATATACAGTGGAAAATATTTGCATGAGAAATCCTAGTTAATGTTAAATATTTTTAATATTTAACCACCAGTTAAATACTGACCATTAATATTAGTTAAATATTTTATATATTAGTTAAATCATTCACTGGTTCTCTCACATGGAATATAAATTGTCAGCACTTTCCAGCCTGTGCGTTATTCAAAGTCCAGGGCGGTGACAAATGCCGCTTCCCACTCACGTTGCATCGAACGCTCACGAACCCGGCAGTGCTTTAGGGTCGTTGTTTAAGCCTCAAGTCCCCTGTCCCCTCTGCTGCTCCAGCCACCAGGCTGTGTYCTGTATGGCCACAACCTGCCACTGCGGGGAGGCAGGGCAGGATTCCCATTGCACCTTCTGCAGAGCCCCCGTGTTCCCTGCTTTGGAGAAGCTGCATTGGTGCATAAACCTCTCGAGCTTCTCAGAGAGGTTCTCTGGGCAGMTCAAAATCCTGCGTTTAAATCCCCCTTGCAAATGTTTACACATGGATTGCACTTGTGGCTTGCGAGCATCTCCCGAACAAGTAATATTTGTTACTTTTAAGGTGCACTACACTATAATTTTGGCTTGGGCTCGAGTGCTTCACAGAACATTTAGTGTGCGGTGGTTGCGGGACACTAAGTATTTATAAACCTCGCCACAAAAGGATATTCTTCTGTAAAGCAGTGTATTCCTTTAACCATAAAATCTTTTTCCTTCCTCAATGAGGTATCCTTTAACCAATTTTTCCTTTTCCCATATAAAACTGTAATCTAATTTTGACATTCAGGCATGGGAATGGAATTATTATGGGAGCAAAAGGCATCCATTTTCCGTGTGGGTTTGGCTGCTCAGACACTCTCCCATTTGTGCCCCGACGGAGCGGCCGCGGCCTCGGCGCGTGGTGCCCGCGCGGCCCGTCCTGCCCGTGGCCGCCACGCTGCGTCCCGGCGCGGGCGCTGCGGGGACCGTGGCCGCCTCCATGGCATGGACAGGCGGGAGCAGACAGGATCTCAGCGCGCTGCCCGGGCAGCTGTGCCCCGCGCGGGGCTGGTGTCGCTTGTGCCATAACGGGGACGTCGCCCGCGGAGCGGCGCCGCGGCCGTGCAGCTGGGCTGCCCTTGCAGCTGGTGCTGCCGGCAGGAGGCRGCGCTCTCTGACCCAGGGGTGGTCCCGGTCTCAGAGCAGGGSTCTGCTGAAGGGCTCCCCAAATCCAGACCCAGCTCCTTCCAGGCAGGCTGGCTGCAAACGGCTGCTCGAGCAGTCCCCGTAGCGCAAACGCTCCTCACTTAGAGTAGGGGGTTCTGAATCTGGCTCAAATTAAAGCCATCTGGCAGCATTTTCTCATATACGTTATGAGTCAGAAACCTTCACCCTCTTCATGTTCAATCAGCGGGACGCCTAACAGAGGACGGGCCTATTCCACATGAGTAATGGTGCTAGAAACTGTCCCCTACGTGGTTTTGAGTCGGGGAGTTTCTCCCTGTTGTAAGGTCCCATGGGCCATGTGTGGCTCATTAATCTACAGTGAAGTCTATCTTAAGAAGCTGCCAAAGCAACCAGAAGAAATACAGAGAGAGCTCAAGGAGGCTGGTCTGTAGCTAAAGGTCACATAGAATTGTACAGGAAACCCAAAAGAAAGGAATCTGCTGAAGCTGAAGCACCAACAAATAATCTGAGCTGCTGGGAAGCCACAAGGTTTAATTATAAAAGAAGAAAAAAATCTGTTTAAGTGGCATGGACGCTTTCATTACACAATTTTCATGAACTTAAAACTCAAAAGATGACAACAGAGTAGAAAAGAGACAATAAAGCTCTCTGCTATATTTAACTAAGCCACATTTGTTTGAGACTCATAGCCCAGGATTTTTGTTTGTTTTTAAGAGGTTTTACATGGATTTTGAACAAACTTTCATTGATGTTATTCTGGAAAAGCCTTAACGAATTGAAAGGTTCTTGTTGCAGTGTTAACTGCCAGGGCATTTGGACTATTTCACCATTGATTTCAAGGTAATTCGGGGGTTTAAGTTGTTCAGGGATGATGTTACTGAAATCCTCTGCAGAGAAGCAGAGTTGGGATATGGAGAATCCACCAAGCATCAGCAGGAATCACTGACCTCCGAGAGGCAGCTCTGGAGCAGCAGTGTAAAGCAGTTAGTGGATGGATTTCATGTACCAGATTCACTGTCTTTGATCTGCAGAAATGCATTTAGGGAGGCCGTGACTTTGAAGGCAAAAGCAGGCTGAAGGAAGGTAAAATGTGCCAAAAACTTAGTGACAGAATAGCACTTGGAGCAGACATAAATATAGCATTCCTTGTCCTCAAATTCATTTTGGTCACATGTTGGCTTTTCCTATTTATTTTAATTTCTGATTTGCAGAATTTAAGTTCTGCTCTGCCTCACTTCATTCCACAAGAAGCTTTGTGTATGTGCAGCTGACACCGTGCAAACAAATCAGTATTTCCATATTGCTTATCCCAAAAGGGAAAAAAGGCCCCAAGGCTCTAACTGCGCTCAAAGCAAACAGTTCAGTTGTACGTGGCAGAGCTTCACAGAAAGTGGCACGGAAGAAACACGGAGTGATTCCAAACAATCCTTTTTGGCAGCGTGATCCCGGTCAGAGGCTGAACGGGAACCCRCCTGGTGCGAGCGGAGCCGGGTCACTGTCACCACGGGCGCCCGCCAGACGCTCTGYGGGTCCCTCCTGGGCGGCAGCGTCGCCCCAGGCCGCCCCGGGGCCACCCTGCTCTTTACGTGGGTGCCGGAGCCCGAGCTGGTGCCTGCCCCGTGCCCGGGAACGCGGTGACCCCGGCTCTCCTCTGGTCCCTGCAGAGCATGGGTTGCGTTTTGCAGGATAGTGCATGCTCTGCTAGGGCTAYTCTGTGGAGATGGTTAGTTGGACTGTGCATGCAGTGGGTACAAGAGCATTTCTCTATCACCACAGGCATTTGGTACTGATAGTTGAAAATACGTGTGTTGTTGCACTGTTCTTACAATAGGACTTAAAGAGTACGGAGGTGTTTGATGGCCTGAAGATAACGTGACTTGGGCAGAACATTGTTGGAGAGGAAAGGCAATCCATAAAAAACATATTCTAAACACAGACCTAGTTTTGTGCAATAAAATGCAGCCGCAAACCACCCAACAGCTAATGTTGGGTATCCCAAATACCAAAGCCACCAGTGCCAATTCCGTGAACGTCTGCACCAGAGCCCGAAACAGCGCAGAGCCGCTTGCCCCCTTTGCCAAGCGCCCCGGAGCGGCCCGTGCTGCAGAGCCCCGGTGCGGGCGGCGCCGCGGAGGACGTCGCGCGCGGCGCGGAGCTCGGCTGGGCCCGCGGCCGGGGCGGCCCTGCCGGGCGCCGGCCCCGCCGGGACGAGCGCGGCCCCGGGGGCTCTAAGGTAATCCGGCCAGCGGAGCCCGGCTCTACCAAAGGGTGGTCTCCGAATCAATCACAGCCTTTGGCAAGTCTTGTGCCTTACAATTGAAAACAGACATGTTTTCAGTTCATTCTTTGGGTTACTACTGTTCAATGGTGATTTACAAGAGAGTGTGAGCTATGGCAATCTCTCACGCAACTTTAGATACTCCCTAAACGAATGCACATTTAGAAATCTCCCTACTCTAAAACAATGGCTTATAGGAAAGGAATATTTAAAGAGAAACCAGCTTATAAAAATGCCAAGCAGCCTTTTTCTCCCACATCCATGAACAACAAGGCGGCGCTCTGCAACACACAGCAAGSTAGCGAGAAAATGCAGCAGGGTAAAGACACCTCTAACGGGAAAACGGAACGTGCCCTCCCCATGCTCGCAGGGATGCTCGGGGAGACCTTTCCATGGGTCGCCCACAKTTTTCATTTCAGTCCTCCCTTGAAACGCATTCAGGAAGCCTGTTCCAAAGACAGCAACACCGTATTTCGCAGTAGGGGCTGTATTCAATTACATAATAAATATCACCAGAATATGCTATGCTCAATATTTCTGTATGATTTTAGCACATTTATTAATGTTTCCCCCAGCGCTACATGTTCAGCATTTGCAGTCCTGATTTACACTTACTGTTTTGGAGGGACTAGGGACTAGGCAGATAGCAATGAAGTTTTAGGCAGTCAGGGGTGCAGTCTGGAGTCTACATGAGAGACTTAAACTGGACACAACATTATTGCCAGTCTTTCAGGGAAGGTTTCTACATATAATTGCAAATCCAGATTGTTGAAGCCATTAGAAGTGGTTCCAGCCCTTGGAACCACCATAGAGCAGCCAAGCAAGAATCCGAGTCTCGGGGTCAGGTTGCAAATTCTGTTCTAAATACACAGCTCATCTGTCTTCTCTTGACATTTTACCTCTATTTGAATATTTCATCAGCCATATTAGAAAAAGGGAGAGAGACTAGAAACAGAAGTGAGAAAAGACACTGTGTCCCAAAGGAGCATTGGCGCATAGCAGGAAAAGGAAGGACATTCAGAGGTGCTCCGACAAGCACAAGTGTCATGAGGGAGAGGAAATCAGGAAAAGGCAATCAGGAGAGGAAATCAGGAAAAGGAAATCAGGAAAGGTGCTACCGACAAGCACAAGTGTCATGAGGGAGAGGAAATCAGGAAAAGGAAATCAGGAGAGGAAATCAGGAAAAGGAAATCAGGAAAGGAGAGGAAATCAGGAAAAGGAAATCAGGAAAGGTGCTACCGTAGGTGCTGCAAGAATATGGTTGTCTTGTCTTTTATGCAAGTCAGTTTGATCAGAAACCTAAGAAATTATATTATAGGCACACTTAGTAATGCCTCCTCCATAACAGCTGCAAGTCTGTTGCATTAAACCCACAAAGCAGCGTACAGTCTACTGCATTAAACCAGCAGAGCAATATTTAGGAACAAAACCGTAAACTCCTTACCGGGCACGCAGGGCCAGTCCGTGCGGCAGCTGTAGAGGCAGCACAGGGACCAGCTGGTAGCCCTACCTTGTAGGTTCCTGTGGGTTCCTGTCCCAGTACTGTGGTGCTCCCAAACAGCCAGGGGCTTCCTCGCCTCAGCAGGGCCTCTTCTCCCATGTTACTTCGCAGTCAGGGCGAGCCCAAATCGTGGCGTGTTTAGGAGGGCTTCCTTGCCTGGGCACCAGGGTAGCAGGGCAGTAGCAGTTGTGTTAGTGTCAGTGTCAAAGATCTGCAGCTTTTGAGGAGAAAAGGTGGGACCTGTTGTCGTACCTGACATGCAAATGAGGCCCGGTGCATTGCTGCGAGCTGCCCGTGCCAGCCACCCCAGAGTGCAGCACCGWCCTGGCTGCATTGAAACCCCAAAGAACCAGGTTAGTGCCCCAGCYCCGGCACTGCCCAGTGCCACTGCCAGCTGTTAGCGGGTGCCCTGCCTTTGCAAACAGAAGGGAGCAAACGCGCTTCGTGCAGCAGGCAGCAAGGAGCTGGCGCTGAGGCCGCCTGCAGCGCTGGCCAGGACGGCGTGCGCAGCGCTCATGGTGTGGTGGGTGTCACGGCACACGCAGGGCTCGCCGTGTGGTGGGTGTCACGGCACACGCAGAGCGCACGGTGTGGTGGGTGTCACGGCACACGCAGAGCTCGCCGTGTGGTGGGTGTCACGGCACACGCAGAGCGCACGGTGTGGTGGGTGTCACGGCACACGCAGAGCTCGCCGTGTGGTGGGTGTCACGGCACACGCAGAGCGCACGGTGTGGTGGGTGTCACGCGGCCTGCGTGGGTCCGGGCGCTGCCTTGGCACGCGCCCCGCAGCAGCTGAGCCCCGCGCGGCTCTGCAGGATCATCAGGAAGGTGCCCTCCGATAGGCCTAGGTATTTCCATGCGTCTGCTTTTTATTAAAAACTAACAGATAATCACACCATTGCAAACATGATCAAAACTGCATTTATAGGAAGAAGGGTTTTAATCTCTCCTAGAGCTTTATGTGCATAAATCTGATGGGCATAAAATCAAAATGGTAAATTGCTAGTGTTTTAGTCTGATGCATTCTAAGTACTATTATGTTAGGGCTTTAAAAAAGAGTAAGGGTATTTCTGGAGAAGACTTTCTAACCTACAGCATTCTAATATAAACTATGAATTATTGCAAACAATGTAATTAGGCCATGTTCTTATATGTTCCTTTTTTTTTTTTTTTTGATAGATATTACTGGATAATCGCGATATTTAATACTTTCATTTTGTTTAGTTTCCACCTTCAAGTTATACCAGCGTGCTAAGCATGTGTACAGTGAAGCTGCCAGAGTGCTGGAATTTAAGAAGATCTGCAATGAAGCACCTGCCAATGCGATCCAGCTGCTGGGAGAGCTGATGAACCAGAGCTATATCAGCTGCAAGGAGCTGTATGAATGCAGCTGTCCGGAGCTGGATCGGCTGGTGGACATCTGCCTGTAAGTCTTGACCGCAGCGAAGAGTAATCGCCTGTTGAGAATTCTGTTTGAATTGATGAGAAAAAATGACATCGTTGGCTATTGCACTTTTAAAATGAAAGTATTATTGTCTCTTATTACAAAATTAATCTCCTACAGGGACATTACATGGTCAATTGTTTCCCTACTGACATCTGTGTAATACTTTCAGATGAAAGCTCCACTTTATGGCTTTATTACAGACTTGGCTTTTGGACTGACTCATCATCACAAGTGAAGCTAGCCTGTGTTGCCTATTCTTTTTCTAAGTTGAAGAAGAGATCCTAATGGGTTTTCTTAAAACATCATCTCAGTTGTTCCGTTGAAACTAACTCTTTGCATGTTCCTTAACCATTTCGCTGCTGCCTCCACCATGCAAGTGCATGAGCCGGGTGGTCCAGATTCTTAGGTTGCCTTGGAATCCTAACAGAAATACAAGAGCTTTCTCTGCAGTGTTTGTGTCTAGGGCATCAGCTAGGCTGGACAGCAGCTGATCAGTTAAATGAGAATGATTTATAATAGCTAACACCCCCTGCTCCTGCTGTCTGCATTAGGTGTCTGAGCTTTATCCACATTATTCAGTTTTCATATTTATGCCCCAGCTTCTTTTTTCCTGTTGGATTCCTTAACACAGGTTGGTCCCAAGAAAACCAGAGCCACTCACCTCCAGAATACATTCCCAGAGTGTCATTTTGTCCCTTCCTTCCTTCCTTCCTTCCTTGGGCCATATCCTCTAGCTGACATAAGTGGAGTCTGAGAAATGCCACCAAGTGAGCGGGAAATCATATGTTGTTGTATGTAGCAGGCTGTTATTTTTTAAACTTGTCTACACTGGAAGAAGTCTGGTGTGACCATGTGTTGATACAGAAAGTAAAAATGAACTACTTGGTACTTGCTTTCTGTTTACTATTTCAACCCTATCACAGCCCCATTGTGAAGGGATGCACACACACTTCCATCCATCCCGACTGCCGTGGGCTGGCACCCTGAATCATGACACCTAACCACTAATGCTAGCTGTGGGCTAACACAGTGCCTGCAGAAGGAGCTCAGGGTGGTTCATCATTCAAACGGGCTTGGGGCAGTACGGAGCTGCCCGCACACACTGCTGCCCCGTCCCTGCCTCTGCCCCAGCTGCTTCTCCCAGCTCCTTCTCTCCTTCAGGTCTTGCTTCCTGCTCCATGTTACAGCACTTGCTTCTCCTTGGACTTTGCTCAGTTTGGGAAACTCTGCCCTAAGCTGAGAGTTAAAAAGCCAAAGGCTGTTGTCCCACCAGGGGGGAAGTGCTGGTGTCAGAGCTGCTGCAGGCGTGAGGTCAAAGAGTTGCTGTCTGTAGCAGAGACTCTATGGACGTGTCGCATCCTTCTTGAAATCTTTCACAATTTGGAAAAAACAAACAGAGAACCCTCCAGCAATTCTCTCTGAAGCTAGAAAAAAGAAGGTTGTACCATCTAAAACGTCAAATTACAACAACGTTTGCTTTACCAGCAACATTTTTAAAGAAACCTGGCTTATAATGAAATAATCAATTTTACAAATACACTGGTTGCCACATGCATTCTTATTTTTATAGTCATGCTCATTTAGTAAGATGARATTATGACTTACCAGGATTGTAAATCAATATAGAGTAACATATAGTTGATTATATAATAGCCTGTGTTAGTGTGATTTCTTCCGAAGACAGAATAGCCTCTGARCCAGAGAAGCACAGACTTAAAAACCGATGTAAAGTCTTCTGGACAGATGATTCTGCATATGGGATACACATGCTGTTTTGAGATAAAGCACAGAGAAGGCCAGATAGCCATTGGACAATCTGATAGCAATTTAAGAGTACAATTCTTGTTCCTTCTCCYGGGAACAAATTCGCTCTGTAACTCACAGGCCGTGTTCGGTCGCTGGCATCACGTGAGGGTCACGTAATGGAAGAAGCTGCTGGGGAGCCGGGACGAGGAGGAGGCTCCGCGTGCRCGACCCAGCGCCCAGCAGAGCTGTGTGGGGAGCTGGGGAGGGAGACCAGTCTCCAGCCTGGCTCAAGACACCCCAGTGACTTAGAAAAGATCTTGGGCTGCAAAGTCTTGATCAGTGCGAGGCATCTGCAGCCTGTTCCTGATGCCATCCCAAAGGCACAGCCCAAGACTTTGCTTTTGCAATAGTTTTAGTCACAGTTACTGCCCAGTAGACCCCTCGTAGTCAATAGATTTTATCTGATGACTGAACCTTGCGAAAATCACTAGTCACTTAAAGCGTCTTCACTTTGGGTACCCAGCTCGGCTCGTAGTAGTAGGGCCTGTTCTCAAAAATTGGTGGGAGATCCTGCCCTGTCCCAGGCAGGGCCGCGCAGGCGCCGCCACCAAACCCAAAGGGAGGCAGTGGCACAGTCAGGATTCTACTAAATTGAATTAAAATTCATCAGAGCATCTCAGTTGCAGAGCCCGAAATAGAAATAGCAAAGGAAAAAGTGATGTGTGCCCATATTACATCAGATTTCTTGCTAAATTACCAGCAGAAGAGCCCGTGGCTGCTACGCTGAGCACAGCTGAGCACCACAGCAGAGCGTGGGCATTGGGAAATGATTTTTCATTGATATTGTTTAATGATTTCAGTTGTTCTTTATTGTTCTTCATTGGACCGAACAAATAAATTACTAGTTTATTATTCTTTACAGTCTTGACCCATCAGGAGTATTTTCTCAGGAATATAGCCTTTTTCTTTTCTGAAGTCTGATACTCCTTAATGATTTTTCTGTGATTCTGTAATTAGATTTATGAAAGTGAATAGTGACTTTAGATGAATCCAGTTTAAGCCAGCATCTAAGTCTTGAGAACTGTTCAGAAAAAAAACCCTCTCATTTTGCTTAAGTTGGACATTAAAAAATTAAGGCATGTAAAATCACTAGTCACTCTAGGAAAACTTGGCTGATGTGATTATAGAAATGGGCCAGGAGCTACAGAAATTACATTCTTTGCTTACAATGATATACAGCTGCCCTGCAACTTTAAAAAGCCCTTCCAAAAATACATTCCACAGAATTGCCCGAGTCTGCTGCTGCTCTCTCCTTACAAGGTTTAAACTGCAAAGAATAATCTGCATATCCAGATGTTTTCTGTTTTGCCTAGATCTTTATGTTTTACTGTACAACGTCTGCCAAGAAAGAAAGGGTTCCATACTTGCTGTGGTTTCTAGTGCTGAAAAGTGTAACCACTAGTTGGTCAGTGTTGGGTTTTTTTTTTTTGCAAAGGCAAAAGTCTTGCACTTTCTCTAACCCATCGCATGCTGTTCATGGCTCTTTTACCTGTTAGCCTTTTTAAAGCAAAAAACACAGAGGCACTAAACAATTAAGGAACAGAAAGTTAAAACTGAGCTCCTGACTTCCTTAGGTACCTTTTTGAAGTCTCTCAGAATCCATGGAGTGTTGCAAATAACCTTCTTTCATCCCCTGCTGTCCATTTTCGGTGACATAAGTCCTAATACTTCCTGTGTTACCAGCCAGCCACTTGAAGAGCACCAAATCCTCTCAGATTGCTTTTAAAAGGATACATTTTTTACACTATATCAAGGCATATTATGGTAGCAGAGTCAACTCTGCATTTAATCAAGACTTACAACTGATGAGTTGCTTGGAGCAGCAAAGGATGGGGTTTGGGATGATACACAAATCCAAACTTTTCCAAAAAAAAAAGAAAAAGAAAAAAAGGAGTTTGCAGCTGTTACGGAGGCAAAAAGCCTAAAGATGTTATTTAAATACACACTATGCTACAGAGTAGTATATACTTAACAGGAACGAATACATACATTCACATTTATATATTGAAAACTCATCATGCCAATGCACAAGGAATGTCTGGCTCTGAAGTCTACTTTAAAGCAGGAGTTTAGGACTGAGCTGAGGTGATGGAGTGGGTGGAAAAGCCAGCTTCAGATCAGTTCCAACATTAACTTTCTCATGTTTGACCTAGCTAACCCCCATGCCACCCATTTCCAATGTATGCAGCCTTAGGTGCTCATTTGTGCTTTCCTCCAGCATCAGGTGCTGCTGCTGTGCCCAGCCCTGTGCCGAGGTCCTCAACACGGAGCCCCACGGGGCTGATAGAAACCACCACACTGGAAACTGCCAGCCACAGCGTTTCAAAACACAGTGACTTCAGCTCTGAAACAGGCAGATTTTCTGTCTACATGATGCTTTTTTCAACTAAGTATTTAAAAATGACTCAGTAAAAATGAGGCATCAGCATGACCGCAGAGAATTATGAAATCAGTAGAAGGTTCAGAACAGTTCTACAGGGATTTCAGTTGCCCACGAAAATAAAAGCCAGACACTATCTGCAATGCAAGTTCTCACTGAAGGAACTGGCCACACGAGCGCAGCCAGCTGATGCAGCAGACTTTGAGAAGTGGATTGGACCTTAGAAGTCCATGGGAATTTCCCTGTCGATTGCAGCTGAGACCAGATCAGACCCTGCTCATTTTAGGAGGTTGCTCCGTGGACCAGAAACTGCAAAAAATTGCAACAGAGACTGAGAGTGGCTTACAGGAATAATAAGTAAAATAAAACACCAACAGGAAATAAGGAGTGAACATAAAATCGAGTCAATATGCGGGGTGGCACCATGCAGGCACACTGAGGAAAGTGTTTCTATTCAGGACGATACGTAAGCATGTTTAGAATGGAACACATATGTAAGTACTTGCTTGAAATATGACCTAAGCCTCAGCTAACCCAGCAGTATACCATACCACACTCATTTAACATAAAATGCACATATGAAAAATAACCACAGCCTACTGAGAAGGAGCTGTCATTTTCCAATATACCATTCTCATGATGCCCACTCTCCCTGGAAGCTGGAAGGACTGGTCAGTCTCACACTGCCGGGGTACTGGAAACCTATCAAACAGTATCTGTGTGCAAATCAGATTAGATTCCCAGGAGAATAAGATTCCAAATGAGTTTTCTAAATCATCCTGTTCAATGTTAGAAGTGCCCCAAAGAAGTTTATTGCATGGTATTTTCCTCCTCTTTCTGAATCCAGGTGAAGGTAGGGAACACAAGTGAGCAAATTACGGAATATAATTCAACTAAATTCTAATGAATTGACATCTGAATCTTGCAGAGTAATGTCATCTCTAGTGGCCCAGTATCTTGAGGCTGGGAATGGTTTGTGTTTTGGATGTTATTTATTTGCCATTGTTCTTCCTCTTCACCCTTCCCATTAAAAGCATTTTTTCTCCTTTGGGACTGGATTCTTATTTTATCTCTACTGCTGTAAATCTGTTAAGTTCACGCMGTTTGCCTAGTTTAAAGCTAGGTACCGAACCCTGCCCGTGGATGACTGAGTGCAGTGACTCTTGGTATGAATTCTGAGGAATTTCTGAATTCCCCTTTCCTTGACTGGCAATCTCAGTAGTCTTGTGGAAGCCTGTGGATCTTCAGCATGTTTTAGATCTGTCCTGGAAGAATAGAGCTATTTGTCCTTGCCACATTAGAAAATGGCTTGCATGCCTACATCCTGTGCAATTAGTTCATGAATCCTCTTTTGTTACTTTTGTCATGTATTTGTTGTCGCATCTGATGTCTGATGAATGTTGCTAACACAATTCTTTTTTTCCCCTGCTTTCTTCATCTCAGCTGTGCTGTGATCTTTAAAACAGCTGATGTTGAAGCATTATAAAGAGAGTGACTTTTGGAATTGACAGAAATGATTACATTGCAGAGCTTGAAGTACCTGCATTTTTTGTTCAAAATGATAGTTGCAAATTGCTGGCATGTCTGATCAAACCAAGTGGGCCTCAGAAGATACAGATGTGTTTTGAGTCCAGTGTTCACTAGTTTTCTACAGGAATACTGTATATGACAAATTATCTCTTTCTGGTTTCTCATTCATGATTTTTTTTCTATTATGTTTTATTTTAGGCAATTCGGGGCTGTTGGGTCACGCCTGACTGGAGCTGGATGGGGCGGCTGCACTGTGTCAATGGTGCCTACTGACAAGCTGAATAATTTCCTTAAAAATGTAGAAGCAGCTTATTACCAACCCAACATCCAAAAGGTAGCGCTGGAGAATAACAGTCTGTTTGCTACCAAGCCTGGAAGAGGAGCTTTAGTTTATGTTGAGGCCTAACAAATGTGAAAAGTTTAAAGAAACTCTGTAGGGCATTTAGAACTGGCAGGACTTCCTATGCTAGCATAAATTCATCCTTTCCCTTTTCTTCTTCTTTTTTTTTTTAATTACATTGAGAAGTTGCTATAAGCAAAATCCATTTCTTAAGATGCAATTAAAAGTACACTCTTAGATTATGAAGTCTATTTTTTTCCACCCTAAAAGTATCTTTCTGTGGAAACATCAATTTATAGAAACCTACTGACATGGAAACTCATACTTTGTTACAGTGGATATTTTATATTTTCTTTTTACTGTTACAGAAGAGCAGGTGGAAAAATGAGCTATTTCATTGCTGGAACCTCACAGTGTCTGCAGAGCTGCTCAGGGCTTATTCACTTCTGCTTCTGGATATTTTTTGGTTTTAAGTCCTGTGAAAACAAAAGGTAGAAGTGAAGTATTCAAAAAAACCAGAAGGACCTAGCTAAACATCACAAGTTTTATAATGGTCTCAAAGAGGGTTATTCCTGTTAGTTAATCATAATATTGAAGGAGCATCTTTGGGCCTCAGTGAAGCATTAGGAACACAGGAACATATGTTAAGTGGGAAAGCCCCATCAGGATTTACTGTCCCAGCAGTTTGTGATTCTTTTTCAGAATTTCAGTTTTCCTCAAGTTAGACAGAAATGGACAGAATTACTGCTTTTCTTGGGCAGAGTGTCATCTCCGTTACTGGTAAGAAATGGAATTTGCACCCTGTTCTCTTCACCATGTAGCTGTTCTCAAGAGTTTTCGACTCAGTTTTCAACACAATTGGTGCTGTTTGTGAGCTGAGCTCACAACATGCTCCCTTTCAGAGGTGAACGAGCAAATGGTGAAGCAGTGTCCAAGGAAGGCCCTGACGCTGTCACGGTTGTAACTGCAGGGCACTGGAAACAGAACATCTGCAACTCGTAACTCATCTATCTCCTCCGTAGGAAAAATGAATATAATTGCTCTAAAAGGTGGCTGTAGGTTAAGATACCCCAAGGAGGTTTTAACCTGCTTTCAGATGGAAAATTAGCTGCCCAGGCTCTAACTTTCACAGCCCAAGTACTCTACTGCTTTGCTACATGCAAAGAAAACTCAGCAGAAGGCATGAAGACACAGCAAGGTTTGTCTCGCACACATTTCTGTGATTGTAAACACATGTGAGTGTCCAGAAGTCTGCATGAAACCAGAGATCTCGCAGAAGGGATCCTCTCTATATTACCCGTGCTAATTCAGGCCAAAAACGAATTCTTAGAGGCTACTAATTCTGTGAGAAGACTCTGCCAAACTTGAGCACAGCAGATGAACAGCAGCCAACACAGCCTGCCAGATCTCTTCAGGAGCCCCAGAGGGGCCATCTAATGGTAATAGTATCATCAGAGAGGATTTGTGTTTCCTGACAACCAGGAGGAGAGGAACGGGGACACTGTAGATCAAGAAAATGGACTGACAGTGCTCAGGGGAGGAAAGTCAAAGGACAGGCTCTGGGCATGCTGGGGAGGAACAGGAAGACTAGAGGGAGGAGAGAGAGAAACATTAATGTGAGAAGGGGAATRAGGGTGATAGTTAAGAACAGGAGGTAGAATTACAGGCCTAATCTTAAAGCAGGCATTCAATATTACTATCCGAGGGAATTTAGTGTCTTGTAACCTTATTTCTAATGCACAGCAGATGTGCTGTACGTTCAACCAAACCTGTACATACAGGACTCCAGAAATCAAATAACAATAGGCAAAGAGATTCAAGAATCTTAGAAATTTTAAAGAAAGCAGTATCATGGCAGATTACACCCTGACATTAAAAGGTTAATAAAGACATTAATAATCCTCATTGTAATTCATTTTCTGTCATAAAAAGCAGATTACAACAGTGTACATACCAATTCTTTCATTAATAGAGCTGTATGGAGCTTTAGTTCAGCTGGATTCCTGGAAGCTTTAATCTGTCTAAGAACAGAATAAAGGTATTTTAGCTTTTTTTTTTTTTTTTTCTTTTTTTTAATTTTTATATCCCCCAAGCATGAAACGTAATCACAAAATCTTTACAAAAAAAACATGCAGGCATGTTTTACATCTGCAATATTATCAGAATTCTTCTGTCAGTGACTCTTGCAATTGATATTTTCATAAATGAAGAAATCAGAACACTAGTGCATTACAAAAGAATAAAAATAAACCTTTTGAACTTGTGATTCATTTCTTTYCTTTCTTTCTTTATCGCTTCAATGTCTTTTTCATACTTTTGCTGTAATCTGAAAAATAAAAATTGGGATGTACTTTTCAATGAAAGATGAAGGATATTTAACCTATATACATAAAAATGGCACTCACATTTTTATATACATACTATCAACAAAAAATAAATGTTTCTTTTTAAATTAAAAAAAAAAAAAACCCTGTGTGGCCTTATTTTTCGCCTTTGAAGACATTTTGTTATATAAAAGAAAGCAAAATCAGACTACAACTGTTGGACAAACAACATGTAAAGCGAGCAGCAAATACACAAGTAGTATTTCTAAAAGCTAAGCAAGAAGATTCTGGTTTGGAAAAGAAATTCTACATACAAAGCAGCAACTTTTAAGCTTCTTAAGTCTTTCCAGATCTTTTCTGGAATAGCATTTTCTGACTAGATCTGCAAAATCCCTTCTCTAGCCCCAAATCATGCAAATTGGCATATATGTACATGTACAGATTTGGAAAAAAAAATAGAATTAATGTCAGGCAATATGTGCAGAGGTGATGCCTCCTATTAGYGTGAGCTAAGATTATTAGTGCAGCATGATTTTATCTCATTATAATGTCTGACTGCAATTCATTCCATCATGAGTTTAATCTTAGTGTGCAGTAAATGGGAGCTAAACCTCTCCAAAAGGGATTTAGAGTGGAGACACTGTCAGACATCTAAGTGCAGCAGCATTGCCTGGTGCCATGTTAATACTCTGTATTATCTTAATCCCATTGACATGTACTTCATCACTGGACATGCTCCTGCTCCCAAAGGGAATGGAGGGTAATTTTACCATTCATTTGAAGGGAGGGGATGAAGACTGGACATCTGACATTTTTTTTTCTCTTGCACTCAAGATCCACACACATGCATATCTACATACACATACATATATATCAAACCAATATGCACTAATTACCTAWTACCTTCAGGAATATCAGTTTCTAGATTAGTATGATTTGAATGCCTGMTTGTAGTTTAATGATTGTCATGCACTTACTCAGTAAAATCCTTGTGAAATTCTTCTCTGAGTCTACGTGTCTCTTTAATAACATCTTGATAAGTTGGAGCAACTGGTGTGATACAGTTTCAGTCAAGTGAAAGCTCTGTATTTTCAGCTACCTGGGAAATTCATCTGTGTACTAAATCACAATCAGCTATAGTTAAACCAAGATAAATCCAGAGCAGCATTCATGAGAGCTATCATCTTCCAGTAAGAGCGACCATGAAAATCGTGATTGCTATGGTTAGGATGAAAGCAGGSCTTGCTGATTCCTTGTCACTTCAACGCAAAAAAAAAGGGGACTGTATAAGAGAATTAGTGCTGAGAAGTAACAGCAGCAGGAAAACCAGACTGATAAGGCTTAACATCACTAACCCTGTGAATCACAAAAAAAGGTTAAACTGCATTTTAAAAGCAGGTTTTGAGATGGAAGCTTAGGTTTTAGCAAGAGCTCCTGTTAAAAGAGGGTGCAATACAGAAAAGGGGGGATTTGGCTGCAAACGGCTCTCTGGGAAGCCCTGGCTCGGCTGACCTGCGCTCCCACCTGCCGCCTCAGCTCCCTGCACCTCTGGATCTCCGGAGGTCCCGCTTCCCACAAAGCCACAATTCTGCTCTCCATCTCCTTTCAGAACTTCTGCTTTGGGGCTGGTGTCACAAGCAATGAAGACATTCTGCAATACAGGGCATGGCAGCCCCTGCTCAGAGCTGGGAGCCGCGGCGCGCGCGGGACCCACRGGGATGGCGCCGAGTGTCCCTGCAGCCCCGGGCTGCAGCGGGCAGTGACACTGCCTGCTCCGGAGCAGGAGCGGGACGGGGTAGCAGAGCACAGCTGTAACAGAGGGAATTGCAGGCRGATGAGCTTTTCCTTCTATGATTTACTGAAAAATCTTCCGAACACAAAAAAACTATCAAAGTAGGAAAGTAGAATTTCTTAAAAAACAAACAAACAAACAAACCCCTACCAAATCCTTCAGAGGAGCTACTGCTTTACCAGGAAAGCCTGCGGAGGAACCTTCACTGGACCCCTGAGGTCTCTGCAGACTCTGTCACCATGAACAAAACCCAGATTCTCCTGCAGGTGCTGGCCTTAGCAGTGCACATCCAAGCTGTATTCACCACAGGTGTAAGACCTACCCACCAAAGAAACACCTGCAAAGGAGTTAAGTGCACATCCAAGCTAAGCAAATGAGAGGACACGAAGGAGCTTTCAGAAGCAGCAGAGCAGCAATATATTCGAGCCTGTTTTCTCACAGCGGAGGCTCCCCCAGCAGCCCCAAACTGCTGAGGATTTACACCAGAGTGCTCGGTGTGTGTACTGGGTTTTAAGCCCAATGTGCTCAGGGACCTGCTGCTGCCTCCCGAGCCCTTCTTGGCTGGCCAAGATCACAGAGCGATGGAGGAGCTCCCCCGCGCTCCCCAGCGCGGCCGGCCCTCCTGCACTTGGCACACGAGGCTCAAATAACTCCATAAAGATTAGATGTTCTTCAGGCTGAAACACACTGGTGCCCAAGCAGCTGTCGTCCTTCCAGCCAAGCTGTGTGTGATTTGGGGTAGGAATAAAAATACGCACTGCTAGCCAATGATGGAGCCAGATGGGCTTTTATTCCCGTTTAATTTTTCAAGGGATACTGAAGCAGGTCTGCATGAAACTCTTGCTGCAGTTGCCACTGACTTAAAAGCTTTTGTTTTGCTGGGCTTCATATAATGGAGGACTTTATTCATGTTATTCTATGTTTTCTGGTTTATCTGCATCTCATGTGCCAGATATATATATATATATAAAATATATATATATTATAATATATAATATATATTTTTTGGTTAGGCTGCCCTGGATTTGAGTAGGAATTTTAAGTGCACTTCCAGTGATCAAATATCAAAAATATAATTAAATTGTTCTGATTAATGATAAAGAGTTTTCTACTGCTTTTTTTTCTCCCAGCAAACACCCTTTATGATCTCTCCTGGAACTGCTTCCTTCCTGTCCTGTAATGACTTCTGTCTGGAGAAGAATTAGGATAACCATTTTACAAGGAGAAACTATCCTTGAGGAAGGATTCAGTGACCCACTTTTAAGCAGCAACAACAGCTGCACAAATTATATTTTTATGAATGTCTGAACCTAATTTTATGATGTTAGAACCAAATATTCAGTTCTACCAGTCAGCTCTAACTTTCAGAGCTGAACTAAAAACTGTAACAGAAAACAAGAGCTAAAATGAAAACTAGAAGAGTCAGTCTAGGGAGGATTTAGGAAACTACTGAAGGATAATGTCAAAGCTTCACAGTTGAATCATAAAATGAATCCCAGCCAAACATGAACTAAAACTTGAAAGACTTGATTGGGAAAGTTTTGGGATGAAGGGTTAATGATCAAGTTGAGCTGTTTCAAAAGTCACTCATGGTCGGGCTTGGACCTCAAGGACATTTCCAAGTAAGTTCCTGTACAGTTCTTTAAAGTAAATCTATCTGGATCAGTAGCAGAGCAAATGATAAGCTTTCAAAAGTCTTTTTTTTTTAAGTTCTTGTTTTCAGAAGACCATATGGGGAAGAGAGAGGAAGCCTGGGCAGCTTCTGCTTGTGAACATCTTTAACCTGATGATGGCCAAGGGGGAGAGAGCAGGTCACCCCCGGAGTTGGTTTTCAGGGCTTCCTATAGAAGGAACTGACAGCTGAAGCAAATTGCTTCCAAGGATGCTGTTACCAGCCCCTGACTATAATTGATGAAAAACTCCACAATTTATTGTCCTATCTGAAATTCATAAAATATTCCTGATTATGAGATCTTGGAGGGGTTTCCTTTATGAGGCTATCAAACCTTTTGTTAGTTCATAGTTGATAAACTCGTGTTATGGGCTACAGATTAAGCAGCCAAGCTCCATCTCTACGACACACAGTTATCCAGCACTCACCTATCACCCTGTCACTACCAGATGAACGCAGAGGGATGCAGTGAATCCAATATTTCTTCTCTAGAAAATACAAAAATACAATTTTGAAGCAGTATTCCTCTCCCACTGTCTTCAGATGCCATAGGAAACTGTTTTCCTATCATCAGACTTAGAGGGATCACCAAACAGATGGATTCTATGTCCTCTGGTTTGGTTAAACGGAACAAATTTTGATGAGAGAAGTATATAATACATAGTGGGATTTATCAGTATTGCACTAACTTGCAGCATCACACAACCTGCTCTTGGTGACCTGCTTTCTCCCTCTTAGCCATGCCCATTCAACAGGGAACATTTAGGGAGGCCTCCTGAAGCAGGAGCAGAATTATTCCATTCCCCTCTGAACTGGTTGGCATGGCTGCACAGTTTGGATTTGCTTCAGTCCCATCTCTAAGAAAACGGCAGGGACTTTGCAAGCTCCTCCGAGCAAGCCTGAGGGGCTGGGTTGCCAGAGGCTGAATCTCGACGATCTGCTCCAGCTCCACTAATGAGATTTTTGCTTTCTATGTAGGTGGCCTTTTATTTCTTAAATACAATTAGCACAGAGTTGTTGCCTGATGTTTTTATTTATTTTTGAAAGTGCCGACTACTGGCCTTGCTTGCATAGTTCTTGTGTTTCCAGAATTGACATTTGGGAAGCCTATTTTCAGGAAATTTTGTAAGAGGGATGATATTTTGCACTCTGCTTTTTCAGCTTGAAAGGCTTCTGCTTTTACTTCCTTTGTCTGTTCATTAGGGGCCAACTTTAATTCCTAGATGTGTTTCTGGGAGATAAGTTCCTTTTCTTTTCAAATACATGCCACTTAAAACCACAGAGCAAAAATATTCTAATTCTTCAAAGCTCTGCATGTATTTTATATGTTCTGTGTTGGGCATTGCTCTCAGTGCTGCATGGAAATTTAGGTATTTGTCCATTTTTTAGTTTTCTCTAGGCTTTTCATGGCATGTGCTCATGAACTGCCTTATGCTCATTATGTGAAGGCAGGAAAGAGCACCCATCTTGTTCTCTTTTAACTGTAAAATGAATAGAAGGTTTTGGGCTTTTAATCAACCTATAAAAAGTTTCAACATCCCTTTTTTTAAGGATGACATAGAGGAGTGCTATGCAACATTTCCAACTTTTAAGTTTTATTACAGTCTAGCTCTCTGTGATTCATGAATGTATAATTCAGACTCTTAGAAAAGAAATGGAACATTTTTGAAAATCACCATCACGCATATTACAAATTACAATAAACATGTCAGCAAAAGTGGATATACTAACAGTTTATGGTGGTTAATTTGCTAATTTATTCTTTTTACATAAATGGACAAATTATGACTGCCCATTGTGGTCACAGTAAAGGGAGAATGGTGTGGAAATTTTTGTTCTCAATAAATCCATAAAGAAGTGGACACAATTGATTTGACAGAACTCTGCTCTGAATGCAGAGAGTCACCTAAAGTCTGCTGAGAAATTTACAATTGGTTTCCCAAGAAGTCAAAAATTTTCTTTTTATCCCACTAGTCAAGCTAATGGCAGGTTTTAAAATTTCTCCTTGTGAAGTTCATAAAAAGAATTGGATAAATATAAAAATACCACACTGAAAGTGTGGGGGAAAAAGAGTTTTCCAGTCTTTTATATGATGTAAGACTTGGTGAAGCCAGTGAACTTAATTTCAATTAGCATAATACAGAATTTGACTTCTAAAACACTGAAGCAATAGGAGTTGCTCTGTTAACAAAAGCTGCTGAGATTCATCAGCATTCTTTTAAGAAAGCTGCAGTTTCCCGATAGTGAAATATTCTACCAGAAATGCAATACACTGAAAAGCAATGGAAAATTGCTTTTCCTCTACTATACAGAAAATTGTGATTTCGAAGATTCCTAAAAGAAAATGTTTGAGGGGATCTCAAACAATCTTCCTCCAACTCACCAAAATAGTTTAGGTATGAAAAAAATTATATCCATTAGTAAAAGAACAGAATTATTTAGCAAATCTTCACTTCCGAAACTCATTGGTTTAAGATGCAGCCACAAAGTTCTGAATATACCTGTGCTACACAAGAGATAAAGCTTCCCTTCATTCTGATAAATGCCAAACAGAAATATATCCAAACTTGGATCAGACTCTAAACTTCCTTAAGATTTATAGATTCTTGGATTCTAAGAATACAGTTTGGTGCTGCAATAGAACCAAGTCAATATTCAAGCTAGATTTCAGGTATGATAGAAGTTTCATTAAATTTTGGGAGGTTTGATTTATGTTTCTCATTCAGCACCATTTTGCAAATATCTAATGGGAAAAAATGAAGTAACAAACTGAAGTGTGGTTTTATTTCCGGCATTTTAAATCATATGTCAGCTTATRGGATAGCAAGATGAAGGACCTACCAAATCTTTTCTCTGTGTTTCTAAGTTTTGCTCTTTGGGTAAACCACTTGCTGAGATTGTCTGCATTACTGTGGTCTGTCTCGGTCTAGAAAAGAGAAAACTGTCCCAACTATTGTGATCATAACAGAAGAAGGAAATAAAAAATATGAGTGAGACTTCAGTAATACATTCTTCTCCTCCCCACCCCAGCTGATTTAAACCATCTAGACAAAAAAAGTTTAGAAGAAAAATTCATAAACACAACATGAGGGTTAAAAAGGATATGGCAGTTCGTAAACTTCCGTACGATTAATCTTGCAAGTCAAGGAATATGATGCAGCATTGGGTATTTCGTGCATTTTCAGGTAATAGGAGACCAAAGGACTTTGCCCACCAAGTCTGAAGAGCACACGCCTGCATTCTGGATCTGGGCCGATGTAACAGGACTGTAAAAATGAAAGAAAAATCAGCAAAGCATATTATTATCTAACTGTCTGCAAATAAAAACAGAAAAGAATAGGAACTTCTGCATACATATTAACAGKTTTTTCTGCTGACAATGTCTTGTTGAAAAAATTCTCTGTTTTAATAAGAAGTATTACATTATATACTAGTGATATAGGCAAAAGGAGGATGCCCCCTACATGTTGCKACTATATAGGTAATTTCAGTCAGTAGAGTTAATTTTGTAATGCAGTTCATAAATGTTTACAAAAACAAAGCTCTTTTGAATGTGTTACCTCTTCTACTGTTTCTGATTCCTTTGGCACGTCATTTGTAAGTTCACTATCTTCACTTATTTCTCCATCTGCCATATGTTTTACATCTTCAAGTAGATCTTCGCAACTCATGTTCTGTACTAACAAACATATAAAGATCATACACRTCACTTATTGACAATGTGGGTTTTGGAGGCTTTCTATTCTTCTTAATGCAGCATATTCTTCGTAATGCAGGAACACATTCTGAGCAAGGCACTTTCAGGGAAATGTTAATAAGCCAAACTTGCTTAGTACATTAAAACACACTCCCCCATGAAAGCTTCCAGATAAAACCTTTTGCAAAGACATTGCACTATACATGATGAATCAGTTGATGAAAAATGGTGCTAAGAAGACTATTTAATCCATGTTCTTTAGCTTAGAATATTAAACTACATTATAGGGAACATACCGATCTGTTGATTCTTTGGGAAGTAGAAAGCATCTTACTAATACCAGGAATAACACACAGATAACTTCACTATCTCAGCCATTTCAATAAGAGTATAAATAATTACAGAGTCCCAAGGTGGCAGACAGTACGAAATAACAAATAGCTGGGCTCACAAGACTTGGAGTTCCCCATCCCTGCCTACTTATTAAAAATAAGAAGCTGTAAGTCAGAGGGACAGGAGGATTCCACATTGTGCAGCCTGCAGAGGAAGCAGGATGAGGTGATTTTGTCTGTGCACCACACAGAACCATTACCCATTCCATAGCACACACATACACGTTGCCCAAGTGCAAACCTTACGTTCTGCAAAGCTCCTCTTGCGGGCAATTCTATGTTGCAATAAGAAATGAGTAAGACAATTACAGAACAAATGGAATATGCAAGAATGACACAATGAATTTTTTAAATAGATCTTCGGTACCATAATATACATTCAGGAAAGCCGTTAAAGCTGCTGCCTTCTTGGATGTTTTGAAACAAACAAGCGAAAAATGAGTTCTAGCTTGAGTTGTAGTTTTACAGTAAATTGCTAGGCATCCATGTAGACAAAGCCAGATCCTAGCTGGGCAAGCACATCTTAGCCACAGGTTATAAAGCAGACACAGATGTACAAAACTATCAACACAGGAAAACAAAAGTTTGGAACAGCAGGGAGAAAAGCTTTACATTTTTGCATAACAGGAAATCCACTGAACAAAAAAAGAATTACAAATAACCACTAACATGCCTCATTTGCCTTAAAGAAATACAAAAGCCCCTAAAACAAGAAATAACCTCACTGAATAAGAACAACCACAAAGTGAAGAAGTTTCTTTCAAAAAAGAAAAAAAAAAAAAAACAAAAAAACTCTGTTTGAACATAACGTCTCAGTGCACAAAATAGATGAGCAGAGGACAAAGAACTGCCATGAAACCCAAGCTGAGGTAACTTCCCCAAGTTCTGCTATCASGACACAAACACCATTTCAAAAACGGGTTGCTGCAATGCCAGTTATTCCAAAGACCTTCACAACAATTTATACGCTCGCAAGCAGAATGTGCCAGCGTCWGGCTCCAGACTACTGAAAATCAGCAAAAGGGGAAAAAGAAGTTCCCAGCACTCCTAGATTAGTTAACTTAATTTGAACTCCTAAAAAAAAGCCAGACTACTAATTGCAAGAAAGTCTATGTAATACTGAGATGCGCTGCCTCATGGTACTGCACGAGTCTGTTTCTTGGGACTTCTTGTTCTCCCTTAGCAATAAACACAGCTTATGTAGGTTCATGCACCATTTTCAAGCTATGCCATGTGCACAGCCATGCAGATACTCAGGTCTCCTCAATTTCAGAYGCATTTAAGAGAAATTTGTTTAAAAAAAAACGAAGTACAAAAGGGAAAGAGGCATGGACAAACATACACACGGGCAATATCGCTGTAAAAACAGTGGAACACTTTGGTGTTTCTACTTCAACATTTCTAGAGTCTCTCTGGGGATGGAGGCAGTGCTCCCCTCTATAAGCCTGCTAATGATTTTGAAGTGTGTCTGAGAGTTCTCTTAGCAAAATAACAATTGACAGAGTGCAAATGAGGCACTGTATTCAAGCACAGAGCTTCCTAAGACTGTGAATGGAGCTTCAACCAGCAGCGCTGCAGAGATGTGAACTGCAGCCATTATATTCCCACATGACTGCTGTGGCTCTCCTGGAACATGCCTGATCACCAAGGATGAAAATCATCTTTATTGTCTCAGCAATCTTGGCTATGGTCCATCGTTTCAGCCCCTCAGCAGAGGCATCTGTACTCTCTGATGCCTTGGCATTAGAAGCTAACAGACATCGTTGGATGTTTCTGCTTTAGGCTTCACAGACGCAGCTCAAGACTTTCTAACAACCGATTTGGATAAAAATACTATATCTCTAAGATGTGAATTTAGAGGGGAAAATGGATCAATGAATTTCCTGACTTAAATAAAAATACAATCTAACCTTGCTCAGGAGCTTGTGTTCAAAGACACACTGTTGGGAATAACTGCTGTGTCCCACAAGAAGATCTTGCACACTGCTTGCACAAGTGACAGGCAYAAATAAAAATCCTTTCATGGAAAAGTGCAGCAGCAAGCAGGTAGGGAAGGGTGCGAAGGACTGATCCATAACATGTAGCTATTACTATATTCAGATTTCACTAGTGCAGGGTGTTTCTGAGGAGGAAACACCCTGGCCAGGAACAGAGAAGACAGGCAATAGGGTGCTGAGGACACAAGTTACCTTGCTGAATAAAATCAGGAGTGATCGCAAGTCTTTCTGGTGCGCTCATGCCATGGAGTAGAGTTCCCCCTGGAAAGAAAGAAAGACAAAACAATGTTGTCAGAGCCCAACAGGATTAGTAACTAATAAGATGAAGCCAAGGAAGGTCTACTATCATCAAGGGGTTGCAAGAGGGGAAAAAAAGGGACAATGCTGTTGAAGAAAAAAAACACTTTCTCCTGCTACTTTGATCCCCAAAGGATCTCAGGGACCTAGTCACAGGCTAGRAGAGCCTCTAGCTAGGGAAAGGTGGCAGGTCACCCAGCTGGACCCTGTGAGAACAGCAGCGGAAAASTCACGTCTCAGAATATGGCCCATCCCTGTGGCCTGACAAGGCAGTAATGAGGATTTTATTGACAAGATCTGCAAAAAACRTGAATCACTGAATAGCCTTCCGAAATTGCAAAGAGAGAAGGGTACTAATATTTTTTTCCCCTTACTGAAACCACCAAGCGCAGTGGGACTCTCCTATGTGGTGATGGAGCACTGTTAGAAGCCACATTTAAAGGAATCTGAGTATCTCCTGATTTGTTGGCYCTGTCTTTGATAATGTTATGATTACAATTGGATCTAAAGAAGGACTGGTACTTCTGAAAATTGACCTGTTTTCCAAATTACATCATTTGGTTTAATTAAAATATTCCTACAAAATTTTCTGACTTGTGCAAATGCATGACCACTAGATATTCAAATCCCTGAGAAATTTTAATTCAACAACACGGTCAGTGCGTCAACAGGACTTCTCATGACCTCTCTCCATTCTCCTGACCTCACTCATCACTGCTCAAGAACAATGCAAAAATTACAGCCCTGAGGTTTCTTCCTCTGCCTTTCACATTTCTTCACAGTAAGTAGGTCCAGAAATCACTTAAACAGATACAAGTATATAAATAGTAAGGAAGAGTTAATCAAAAATAATAAGAACTAGAAAAATCCTGATTTTGACAGTCTTCTCAGCAACAGAATTAACATTAATTTACAGTCCACTGAAGAACAATTTAACTAAAGGCACAAAGTATCCTGCAGAACCTTTTTATTGCTGACAATAATACTTGGATTAGAATTAGCACAGCTTGATTTTTAAATCCCAAATTGAGTCTGCAGAGCAGGCAGTTAAAAAAAGGGTATTTTTTTTTAACTTGGAAACCAAGCAAACTTGATCTGGAAGTCATTAACAGATAATAAACATAATCTTCCCCCACTCACTCCCAAGATGCCATCTCTACAGTCACTTTCCAGAATACAGTTGTATTTTTACAACATGTCATCCTACAAAGCAAAGTCTTGCAGGCTTTCGTTTTATCTGATTTCTCCCTTACTGCTAAGGAATTAGCGCGTTCTCTTCAGCAGGACTCAGATCCTGACAAGGGGAAAGAAGTGGAGTGGAAGGAGGAGGAAGTGAGAAAACAAAGAAGAAAAGTAAAAGAGACATTCAGGAGTAAGTTACATCTTTACAAAATTATCGTATGGATTCCTCATTATGTTAAGTCATAGGCATAAGAAAACATATACATTTGATGCATTTACTGCTGATAGTAACATCACAGTGACTGGTTTTTCATCGTCCTATACAACTAAATCTTGTTAGCCTAGGCGATGAAATTAACGGTGGCAGATATTTATTTGAAGAACTTTTGGGTCTGACATATTGTTGCATTTACTAATATATAACCATAATACTGTACCTAAAAACTTATACTTCTAGCCTTTCAYAAACAATGAAAAATTCAGAAGCTTTGATCTATTTGAAAGAAATTCTGAATCATATTTTAATTCTGAATCAGCTGAACGATATTAAGCCTTGATGCTGTCATTAAAAGCTAGTCACTAAGGTTCTTACTGTTACTTCARTCTTGCTACAACTTTATTATTTCACTTTCCAAAAGYCTGGATAATTAAGACCTTACACAGACAAAACTTCCACTGACGTCAACTCATATTTTGTCTGGGTAGAACCCATATTGAATTCAGGTTCAGGTGTTTTACCAAAAAAAAGTAAAATCGGGCTCATTCTGCAATTAACTGTGTTTAGCCAATGACATCAAYGCCAGTGACTTTCTATGGATTGCTCGATTTAGGGCTTCCAACACAGCTTACAATGGCTGACAATAAAAGAACACATCTTTGCTTTAATTTTCTTGTCCTTGCTGGCTTTCATGAGTATGAGACATCTCTACTTTCTGTAGCCTACTCCAGTCATCAAAATGCAGATAAAGTTGTATTTCAAAGTTACCGCACRAGAGTTAGTTTTGTACAAACATATTATAACTGCCTCTTGCTTTAATATATGCACCTCTAACGTTTGCCATTCTTATAATCACTTAAATAAAATGCCAAAATATTTTAATGTAGTTAAGTTTTCTAAACTAGATACAGATGTTATGTTAATGAAGATAATTATGGGAGCTGTGCAGTTTTTGGAGCACTGTAATACTTTTCAAAGCTCTCTAAACTTACTTCAGATTCCAAATCTCTAAGCTCTCTAAACTCACTACAGATTTAGTCCAATTGTGACCATATACCCACTTTTGAACAAGCTTAAGAATGTAAGAATTTCAAAACTTCTCATTTATTATTTATTTACACATAAAGCATTTGCCTCCTTYTTGTGCTGACAACACAGAACACATTTGTCGTGTAAAATGGTGTAAGTTCTCATAAGGTAAACGCTGTGTACCTACAACAAAAATCAGGACTTCATAAATTCCAGCAGCAATACAAGAGAACAACTTTGACAGCCATCAGTTGACACTTACTGGGAATTCTCTCAAAAGCTTTAGGAAAAAAGAAGGGAAAATATATCTTTCCAGCATGGCTATAGGTAAGAATGGAATTAGAGAATTTAAAAATTAGTCTTTTCAAAGACTGAAAAATGACTGATTTGCTATCTGTTCCTTCTTATTTAAATATACAACGTGTACGTTAGGTTTTCAGCTTATCATCAGATGAGAAATCTTTAAAGGCAAAAACCATATTGAGGCTAGTGACCCAAAAGGTTTACAAGCGAAATRCTGCATCTGCCACATTATACTTGAGAATCTTACTTCTCTTAAAGGATAAAATAAGACTTATCTGCTTCTTTCCTATTGTAAAGTAAAAATGCAAAAATAGCTTTACTTGGTCACACTAAAGGTATACCTCGGGCATTATCCTATTTCCACCTCTGACTAATAATAGATGCATAGAGAGGTTTTAAGAGGATGGCAAGTGCACAGGGATAGAGCCACAGAGTYCTCTCCTAGCCACATGAAACTGGTGGTCTGGGAGCCACAGCTGCACACTCTGCATTTAATAGCCCTCCACAGATCTTCCCACTGACTGATTAACTTAGATGCTGTCTAAAATGTAGCATCTACATTGTCTGCTGGTGCTTAACTTAATGCTGTACCTCTGCTTTTTAGTGTCGTTTGATGTTCTGTTAGTCTCACTTCATTTAAAGCTAGGAAATATTAAAGCACTTACATAAAACTTGTCATAGGCAGCTGAAGATTTTTGTATATTAAAATAACTTGCAAGCAGAAATCTCTTCCCAAAAGGTCTTATCACAGGATACCACAGGAAGAACAGAAAATTTTCCTGATTTTCCCAAACTACTGGACAACGTCTTTTAGATTTACTATTTTCAAACTCTTATAACCAAAACTTATATAATAATAAAATACTAACTACATAATACCAATTTAGTCAAGCATTCCGTGTTACATCACACTTCTCTGAGAGATGATTTAACAACATTTATAGCATCCAGTATTTSAAATTCATCTATTTTCCCCACATTTTCACTGCAAAAGTCCAGCAGCAAAAGATCTCACAATTAGGTACTAGCAGTTACAGTAGTATCTTTTACAAATGAGCCTGTCTGTAAACCAAGATGTGCAACAGTTAAGAGTTCAAGTGCACTTATCTCAGTCCTTAAAATGAGCAAGTGCATCCCACTTAATTCAGTCCTTAAACAAGCAAATAGATTGAAGTTTAAAGTAAATAGCTTTTCTCAGTAGTGATTTACTCTGAGATGTTGTCATTCTGCAGCTATTTACTTTTTATGCTCAGTAGCCCTAGTGTGAACAAAAGAGGCAGAAAAAGCAAATAAACTCAATCAGAAGAGTAAACCAGCTCCAATCCACATCTACTTTCCAGGACAAATACATATATACATCTCCCCAGCAGAAACAGTTCTCTGTTTATAATTATTAGAATTATGCAGGCATTTTTTTAAGCAAACTTGTGTGCATTCAAAATTCTGTCTAGGAAAATTAAAGAATAAATGATTACATCAACATGAAAAATGCAATATAACGAGTGACAAACATTTCCATTGCTCGTAAATTGACATACACGATGCTCCACAGGCTGCCTAGTACACAGCTTACTGATAGACCTTTGAACTGGTGTGTCAATCAAATAATACTCAAAAAATATATAACGTTCTAGTCAAACCCAATTGCAACAATATAATATCCTTTTGCTGCTAGTTCTACTGCCAAACTCTATTTYGACAGCTACCAATATTGTTTCCACCACTAGAAGCATTTATTCCCTTTTTCCACATTTTTTCCTTAATTGATTTTTTTTTCAGTTTTTATTTATATGAAGTATTTTCTCTAATCCACTTCCAACCTACAAGAGAGAAATACTGGATTAGTGACCTGAGAACAAAAGCTGTAGCAGCAGAAGGTTTTAAAGTGTCTTACGGGTTCATTTAAATACAAGATGAATCAACATAACGATATTGAAGAACCATTGACTATTTCAGTATATAAAGAAGTCTGATTTCCATAATTAGCTTGGGGTTTATTCGGAARCATGTTGTATAGATGGTCCTGAGCTAGTCATGAAGTCACAGGCAGGACTGTAATTTCTACCATCCCTAACTGAATGCATGCAATATTTTAAGTATTTGCAAAAAAACAGAACTATTATGATAATCATTAGCTTTCAAGGAATTGCTTTTGTTTATACCCTCTTGTGTGCCTGCACATGAGCAAAACTTCAGAGCAYGTGAGTATGCAATGCACTTAAAGAAGCCTTTC